GTACAGGTAACACAGAACACAATGGCAGCGGTGGAAGTTACTGTGAGCAGCCGTTCAGGGGAGTGGGGCGTCAGCAGCCATGTGCGAGGCCCAGCAGAGCAGCCGTCAGCGCATCAGGTCTCCCCTCCGCCGCAATGGACAAGCCCCTGGCCGAAGCGGGGCCCTTCCTTGCTGCTCCAAGCCAGGGAAATGAGGCTGAGTGCTGGCCTGCCATGCTGGAGGGGAGCACCGGGGAGGCACCGCTCGACCTGTTGGACACCTGTGGGCCAGGTCACCAGCAGCTGCACAGCCGGCAGCTGAAGCTCCTGCCCGGCCTTCAGTCGCTGTGCCACCGCTGCCTGCCCGCGCCTCGCTGCTACCTGCTGTCTCCGCCCGCCACTCCCTCCACATAAAGCCAGCTGGGTGACTTTGGGTCAGTCACAGTTCTCTCAGAACTCTCTCACCCCCACCTACCTCACAGGATGCCCGTTATGGGGAGAGGAAGGGGAGGTGATTGTAAGCCGCTCCGAGATTCCTCCAGGTAGTGAAGGGTGGGGTATAAAACCAACTCTTCTTCTTCATAAGCATAAAGTTAGCATGGCTTCCCAGTGGCCTATAGCCTTACTATAGTCTTTTGCCCTCTGGCACCAGGTGGTTTCTCGGAATCTCACTTGATGGAACTTTCCAGAAGATGTTAACATCCACTCCTAGTTCCCCCCTCCCATCTGGTTACACAGCCGAGCACAGGTTCTCATGATTAACCAATTACCACATTCTTGAATCCAGCCTTGAATGAGATAAAGATGGTACCTGCAGGAAGGCCCAAAACATGGACTCCTGCAAGTCGGACCCTTAAGGAAAATTAGAGTGCTTTGCCTCATAGTTTTAAACTCAGATTTGTTAATGTTTCAACTGTTGCTAAAGTTTTAACTGTTGTTAGCTGCTCCTTGGGAGGAAAGCTATGGCAAATCTAGACAGCATAATAAAAAGTAGAGACATCACCCTGCCAACAAAAGTCTTTATGGTCAAAGCAACGGTATTCCCAGTAGTAATGTATGGCTGTGAGAGTTGGACCATAAGGAAGGCCGAGCGCCAAAGAACAGATGCTTTCGAATTATGGTGCTGGAGAAGACTCTTGAGAGTCCCTTGGATTGCAAGGAGATAAAAGCAGTCCATCCTATGGGAAATCAACCCTGACTGTTCCCTGGAAGGTCAGAGACTGAAGCTGAAGCTCAAATACTTTGGTCACGAAATTAGAAGGGAGCACTCACTGGAGAAGAGAATGCTGGGAATGACTGTAGATAAAAGAAGAAGGGGACAGCAAAGGATGAGATGGTTAGACAGTGTTATCAATGCAACAAACATGAAATTGAGCAAACTCCAGAGGACAGCGGAAGACAGGAGGGCATGATGTGGTCCATGGGGTTGTGAAGAGTCATACTCGACTGTGCAACTGAATAACAACAACAACAAAGCTGTCTAAAAACCACCTGGTGGCAAGAAGTATATAAATGTAATAAATAAATAAATAAAATACCAAGAGACAAATGTTACTACTGCTGGTCTTACAAATTCAGAGTACACATGAATACATAAAACTGCCTTATAGTGAATCAGACCACTGGTCCATTGAGGTAATTATCATCTACTCTAACTGGTCACGGCTCTCCAGGGACTCAGGCAGAGGTCTTGACCTAATGACCTGTTTCTTTTAACTGGAGATGCCAGGGATAGAACCTAGGACCATGTCAGCTAGCTGCCATGCTTACTTTGTTTACCTGCCTTTGCGCAACCGCACATGCTTGCTTTGCTTGGCTACCGGGCGAACTGGCTCAGCCAGACGGCGCTATCAGTATAACCTTGAAGGGAGGGGAGGGCTTGAATTCCACTACAGGTGTGTCTATTTCTGCTCTCATGGGATTGGGATGAGTCTCCCGTTCATGATGTAATATCCCGCCGGGAGGATTGCTGCACGCGCACTTGGATTCCAGTTGCTTAGCTAGGTGCAGCATCATAGTATATGTATGGAGCCCCTTGTAGCCATCGTTATTCCTGACAATGTACCTGTACCACTTGGCAACAGACTAGTATTCCAATAAAACATAGCCTTTCCAGGAGAGTGTGTTTGGACCTGCTTGCTGTTGACCCAGACAGACCATCTATGTGCATTGCAAATGTTCTATCAAAGATCCATAGTCCCTTTGTATAGAGTTGCCAATTCCAGATGAGGCCTGGAGATCTCCCAAAATGACAACTGACCTCCAGACTACAGAGATCAGTTCCTCTAGAGAAAAGGGATGCTTTGGAGGGTGGACTCTATATGGCATTATATACCATGCTAAAACCCCTCCCCTCCCCAGGCTCTGCCCCCAAATAGGCAGGAATTTCCAGACCTGGAGATGGCAAACCTACATAAATGGGATGTTGTCAGTGCTTTTTAAAAAATATGTATATAATTTTTATTTAAGAATTTAATAACAATACAAGGTAAGTACAATAGATGTCTGCCGATGAAGTACAAAAATAGGTTAGAAAGAACATTAATGCTTAACTATGTCCAGGCTGAAGACACCAGAGAACTGTATTACATGCTACAAAACATCTCTTAAGGCAACAATCATATAATAAATACATATCTTTACAGGCAAATTTTAAATCAGTGTTGTGAAAATAACTTCCGATATTATCTTAGATCTAAGCCAAATAATGTTTCAAGTTTAAGTTTCAAAAGTATATCATTGATTTGTATAAAGGATTTGCTGGAATTACATCAGATTCAACCATATAGTTAATGAGTGAATACTGGGGTGCTATAAATTTTTCTTCAGATTTGCTGGAGGAAAATTTTGTGTGCTAAGTGATATTTTGGGCATAATGCAGTGGTTCCAAATACAATTTTGCTAGGATTGGATCGTAGGGGGGAGTTTTTCTAGCCATGCCGTGGCTATGGTATTTCTGGCTATGGCTAACAAAGTGTGGATCAGATCAATCTTACTCTTATTGCCCTGTGGATCTGACCAATTGTTTAGGAGTAGTATTTCTGGTTTTTTTTAAAAAGGCAAATGTATATTTGTAATCAAGGAGATACGATGTGATATTTGAGACCAGAATGATTGTATGTGTTGGCACTTCCACCAGCAATGGAAAAAGTCAGCTTTTTTGTCCATAGTTCTTTCTGCACAGGGGATCCACTTCTTTTCTGATATGATGAGTTGCAGGTGGTATGCACACAGTCAAGTCCGACTCTTCACAACCCCATGGACCACATCATGCCAGGCCCTCCTGTCTTCCGTCGTGCTCTGGAGTTTGCTAATTTCATGTTCGTTGCCTCGATAACACTGTCTAACCATCTCATCCTTTGCCGTCCCCTTCTTCTTCTTTGACCTTCAATCTTTCCCAGCATCAGGGTCTTCTCCAGTGAGTGCTCCCTTCTCATTGGGTGGCCAAAGTATTTATTATGCTGTCAAGGTTTGCCATCACTTTCCTCCCAAGGAGCAGGCGTCTTTTAATTTAATGGCTGCAGTCACCATCTGCGGTGATCTTGAATCCCAGGAATGTGAAGTCTGTCACTGCTTCCACGACTTCTCCTTCTACGTGCTAAGGAGTGATGGGGCCAGATGCCATGATCTTAGTTTTTTTGATGTTGAGTTTCAAGCAAACTTTGTGCTCTCCTCTTTTACTCATAGCAAGAGGCTCTTGAGGTCCTCTTCACTTTCTGCCATTAGAGTGGTATCAACTGGGCGGTAATTGGCTGGATCATGTGGATCCACTGATGGTTTCTCGAAGAGTGGTACAACCACAGAAGACCCCCATATCCAGGGACAGATTGATAATGTCCCCCAGTTGGCCCCATATCCTCTCATCACCAGCTTTCACCAGCCATGAGGGACATGGATCCAGGAGGCATGTGTCGGTTGAACAGCACCCAGGATCCCATGGACATCAGCGGAGGACAGCGGGCTGAAGGTGTCTAAGACCGAATCCAAAGACGGCCAAGGGGCCTCCAGTTCACTTACTGTATCAATGCTGGCCGGCACGTCACGGCAGAGTGACAGGACGTCTTGGTCTGCAAGAAAGCTCGCAAAAGCGGCAGCCTCACCGCTAATGGCCAAATTACTACTCTTTTGGGTCCCTGCTGAGAGGGATGTCAGTTGCCAAACTACTCTGAACAATTGTATTGGGCGTGAGCTTGCGGACATGATGGAGGCTGAGTTGAACTCCTCCACAGCCCTCATTGCCAGGGAGGCTGACAAAGAGCTATCTTTCCTTGCTTAAACAACCGAAGGAAGACAACTGTGCCAAGTGGGAACTACACTTTGTCTGTGCCTGTTTGGAACCAAGCCTGCCTCTTCCACGAAATCATTTCTCCTCCCCTTTCCGGTATTTCAGGATTAGGCATTTACTTCTCAAGCCTCCTCCTCCCTTTTCACAACTCTCTCTCTCCTGGGATATCTGAAGCAAGCCGCTGCAGAGCTGAGTAACAGGACAGAGCTGTTTCTGCTGCTTTTGACATCTTCCGAGTCTCTGCAGTTCCCAGAGGGAGCCTCGCTGGGCTCAGTCCAGAGTCCCCCTGATCCAGGTATGTACAGACAGGGTAGAGTCCACCCACCACCCACACTTTTGCTGAGGGCAGAGAGGCAGCAGAGCTCGTTGACAGGTGGCTGCTTCACACAGCAGTAGGAGCAGAAGTCCAAGCTGATGTTCTGTGTCTGCGAGGCTGAGTGATGACCCAGGATTGTCCTGGTTCACCTCTGGATTCACTAGAGGGCCTTAGGCAAGCCATCTTATATTTGCCACAAGCCCCACATCTCCAATACCAGGATTACAGTACAGGCTTGTTGTAAAGATTAGAAGAAGAGAACGTATGTGAAGCAATCAGCCTCAGGAGAGCTCAGGGTAACACACATGATTCTCCCGACAATATCATTGTTTGGGTGAGAGAGAGAGAGACAGAGATATTTGCATTCGCTATGCAAAGCTGTTCCATGCTGCTGTGGCGCTGGCTTCCCGTTTGGCTCAGAGCTCTCCTCTGTCTGCATCAGAGCGCACGTTATTTAGGGAGAGGGGGGGAGGAGTGGCCTTCCAGGGGTGCTGCGGAGAGGAAACGGCACTTGTGACCCACACACACACACAGAGACACAGAGAAAGTAAAAGGGGGTGACCTGACAGAGGGGGAGGCGGGGGGAAAAAGATGGAACAAGCTGGGTCATAGCTCTGATAAGAGCTGTCCTTGAAAAAAGAGCAGTTTCTCTCAGGGCTCTCTCACAGCCCCACCGACCTCACAGGGTGTCTGTTGTGGGGAGGGGAAGGGAAAGGAGTCTGTAAGCCGCTCTGAGACACCTTCGGGTAGTGATCGGCAGGCTATAAATCCAATCTCTTCTTCTTCTCCTAAAAAACACAAAGCACCCAGCAGTTGCCAGGCAGGGCGTTCTGGAGTCTGCCCCAGGAAATAACAAATGGTTCAGGGGTGGGTGTGCTTCCAAACCCACTCCCCAATATGATCGCAGAAAAATGTTCCCTGGCTGCTTTTAAACGCAGGCGACTGGATTTCCAGCTAACTTGTTTCCTTTGTGACAAGTCGCATATCTCCTTAGAAAATATGGGGGGGGGGATTCAGCTCCAGTTGTCTGCTTTTTGCTCACAGTGGCTCGACGGTGGGGGGTGGGAGCAGTTGTCCCACCTTAAAACCACATTCAGATAAGGCGGTGAGATGCTGTAGTGACCCTGGAGTCACTACTAAATGGCAATAAAAAGATGCAGACAGCCGATGCTGAGATGAAACAATAGGAGAGTGGATGCAGCATCAAATGCAGACAGAAATTTGTGAGGCGCTGTGAGATCATTTGCACAACAGTGGGAAATAACAATGCAGATTGGACCAGAGACGGAGCATGCACAACTGGCCCAAAGTCAAGCAGCAAGCTTGATGGCACGACAGGGATTTTAGTGGAGGACTCACCGATGGCAGCCCAACGGCTGGCCTGCTGCACCACCCTGGCAAACTGAGACTTAATTCTGACAGGAAGAGGTGCGACTGGTGGGGGGAAAGTTTGACCCAGGAGGTGGGATATCTCCTATGCTGGATGGGGGTTGCACTCCACCTCAAGGAGCAGGTTCCCAGCTTGGGGGCTGCTCCTTGAGCCAGGGCTCTTGTCGGATGAACAGGTGGAAGCAGTGGCCAGGAGTGCCCGTCTCCAGCTTCAGGTGAGCTGGCGCCATCCTTCTGGAGAAGGGGAAGGTTCTGCCACTGTGGTGCATGCCCCGAATTAGATTAGATTGCTGCAGTGTGCTCTCTGAGGGGCTGCTCTTGAAGGCTGGTCAGAAGCTACAGGTGGTACAGAATGCTGCGGTCAGAGTATTGACTGGAGTGGGTTACAGGGACTGTATCACTCCAGTCTTGTTCCATCTACCCTGGCTCAATTTTAGGTGCTGCTGGTACTGAACACTAAAGCTCTATGTGGCTTAGAGCCAGCACACCTGAAAGACTGCCTTCTCCCGCATAAACTTACCAGTCCATTTGAGTCATCTTCACAAGTCCTACTTCAGGTGCTCTCACCCTCTGAAGCTAGACAGGAGGCAACCCGAGAAAAGGCCTTCTTAGTTGTAATGACAACATTTTGGAATTCCCCCATGAGAGAGATTTTTCTGTCTCCCTCTATTGTTCCACCAGTGTCTTTGCTTAGTTTGATATATCTCCAATAACTGTTACTAGCTTCTTTCGTGGTTTTATGTATCTCTATTTGTGTGTTTATATCTTGGGGACACTATTTGAGTGGAAAGGCAAGTACAGAAGAGCCCTCAGGAGCAGGGAGGCTGTCCTTCCCCGCCCTTCTCCGTGCCACGGTGGGGGTGGGAAGGGCAAACGCTGCTCAGGCAGTAGAGCATTCACGATGGAGGATGAGGTGTTGAATAATATGGAAGACGGGAGTGAAAAGGCGGGAGGAGGATGTTCTTCCTGTTCCATCCGCTTCCAGTGCCACGTAGGGTGAAAGGAGGCGTCTGTGTGAGAATGGGCCGTTTATGAGCATGTTCCCCCTGGCTAAACAAGATTCCATCAAAACCACCCAACCCATCAAGTTTCGGTAAATTACTTGGAGAGCAAAACAAAGTCAATGGACGGAAATACAAACCAAAATACAAACCACTGTGAACAAAGAAATGTGGTGAGAGGAGAAACAGAGGATCGCCCTGCCAGACATCCTGTCTTCATGAGTCACGGTTGCCAGATGTCCCTTGGACCTGCAGGGGAGGGGGGCGGAGGGAGCGTTCCAGGAGTGGAGAGGGACGTATCTGGAAATGAACGTGACGTGCCCACATCACCTGGAAGTGGCATAGGCACATTGGTGACATCGGGAGCAACGCTCTGGTTTTTGGGCAAAACTCTATGGTAAAATTGGCTTCAAACCACAGAGCTTTGCCTCAGAACCAGAGTGTCGCCCCCCCCCCCGGTCATATTTACTTCCTGCTTCTTCCCTCCCTGCTTCCAGTAAGTCATGTTTATTTTCAGCTGGGGGGGGGGGCTGGCATCCCCCCCCCCCTTTCTGGTAGCCCTGAAGTGCGGGAGGGGCTCCAAACCATGGGATCCCCCAACTGGGGACTGGCAACCCTATGATGAGTCATAGACACACAATTTCTACAAAGGCTTTTAAAGATAGTTCTTAGCACAATATACTTGTTGAAATTTAGTGCAATAGATTTTGTTGTTCATCACATACTGTCCAGACAATCTTTCCTAGGTTTGCATTTAGGTCATGGGACTATCACATTTGTCAAGCAAGTAAAATGTAATGGCTTGGATTTGTCCGCTTGGGCAGCCCTTTCCTCCTTTGTGGAGGCAGCACACTGTTGCAAACAATTCCTGGTGCTCAATTCCTCAACAAATCACCACCTTTGCAAAGGAAAACACCAGTATGCAAATAGATGGATACAGGCCTGGAAAGTACTGGGTTCGCCACATGGAGGACTTGGACAACAACATGCGTTTGCACACGTTTATTGTACCTCACACTGGAACTGGCAAACGGCCCTGCAAGGCCAACACCCACCCAGCACACCCACAGTCCTGTTGGAGGGTTTGAATTTCCCGCCAAAGTGGCTATTGGTGAATGCTGGGGGAACTAACTAGGATCCTCGGCTTCTACTGTCTAGAGGAGCCAAGCTCCTTACTGTAGCCACGGACCCCTGGTGGCGGCCCGTGCACATAACAAGGCCAATGACAATGATACCAATGACAATGTGATTCTCCCTTCCTTCCCCAAATAACCCATCCTTTTCTAATTTGACTACTGTGTTTGTGTGTTATCTCTTGGATATCCCCTTGGATATGAATGATGATGAGTAACACAGCTGTTTTACTCTCCATCCTCCACCAGCAACATGCCCAAACCATCGCAAGACTTTTTGGTTTTAGTTTTAATTTTCTTAATCGTTTTGTGGCATTGACCTGCCTTACTTCGTATGACTGGAAGCTAAGCTAAGCCTGCTAAGCATTTGGATGGAAGACCACCAAGGCAGCCCAGGGTTGCTACAAAAAGACAGGCAATGGCAGACCACCTCTGATCATCTCTTGCCTTGAAAATCAATAAGCTGGCTGCAAATTGATAGTACTTGCAGCCACCAATGCTCTCAGAGGCTCAGTCGTTCCCCCTACACCTCATGAAAGCAGCCACCCAATCTTCAAAAAACCCCGCAGGTATTTGCACTTGCTTCCTTTCATGCTTTGGATGTAAGATTTAAAAGGTTTCATCCACCAATATCATCTAGACATTCTGCAAAATGTTGGAGAGAAAGGAATCCCGCAGCTTTACCACACTTTTAAGATTAGCATATTTTTGCCACTATATTTTTATTGATTTAAACTTGTTGGATCACTGTTAAAACACACTGGCGAGGGTTGCCAGCTCTGGGTTGGGAAACGCCTGGCAATTTAGAGTGTGGAGCCAGGGGAGAGCAGGGCTTGGAGAGGGACATTCGCCATTAAAAAGTCACCCTCCAAAGCAGCCATTTCTCCAAGGGAACTGATCATTGTAGTCTGGTGGTGGGGCAAGAGATCTCCAGGCCCCACCTGGAGGTTGGCAAACACAACAGAAGCCATCATATGATTCCCCATGCATGAATCAGCTTGTTCCAACATTTATCTCTCTCTCCTTGGTTGTCCCCTTTGATCTCCACGCATTTTCTTTTCATCTGACATATTCTTAGCATCAGTTACATCAAGATTTCCACTAAGCCGTCTTGCTTGCGTCAGACACACGGAGAGCAGGCAACTGAGCTGTCCCTGTGCGCCAGACAATGATGAAGGTTTCATCAGTTGATTAACGGCACACCTTTGGCTTTGAAGGGCGCCCCCACACCTTCCTGCCTCCCAGTGGGTTAGGGCTCGCTTTCATACTCCCTGCCCTCCAGCCACCGACTCTCTAGATAAGACGGCAACAATCCTGACGACTGTTAATTACAGCTTGCTCAGAGTCACCTGCTCCTGGTTTGCACAGCTTTCCCTCATTCTCATAATCACCACCATTACTATTAACAGGAGAACTACTAGTAGTTTAACAGAGCAGTCCTAAGAAGAGTTACACC